TCTGGTGCAAATTACTGACCTCTGTCATCATTTTAAGTGGGGGAACTTGCACAATCGGTGGCTGACTAAATACTTTTTTGCCCCACTGTAAAAGCCGCAAACTGTTATTTTATTTTCAGTAGTTGCTTAAAACAAATAAAAGAGTGAGCCAACCTCATTGACTGAGCAAGGCTGTTCCACAGTTTGGGTGCTACAACATCTCTGGTTTTAAAATCAGAGCTAGGGACAGTTAGAAGACCCTTGTCAGACAATCGGAGAGGCCAGCTGCATTGAGGTGTTAGAAACTCAGCTAAATAACCAGGGGCCTTTCCATGTAGAGCCTTATATTTCAATAACAGAATTTTAAAGTGGATTCTGAATTTCACTGGAAGCCAGTGAAGGGATGCAAGGACAGGTGTGATATGTGACCACTGTAATTTCCATTAGCCGCCTTGCTGCTGCATTCTGAACTAATTGGAGACGATCTGAGGACTGACAGAAACTTAAAGTGTGTACTAAAAGTTCAAGACGATTCACTGACATTAAAGGTTTGATTTTTGCAACATTTCTGAGATGAAGGAAACAATATTGGGTAACCTTTGAGATTTGAGTTTCAAAATTCAAGTGCTGATCACAAGTAATACCAAGGTTTTTAGCAGATGATTTGAAGTTATTGGCGAGGGGGCCGATGCACTGACTAACTTTCCTAGAGAAACTGTCTGGGCCGATGCACTAGAATCTCAGTTAACAATTTAAGTTTTAAGTTTAAGTTTTTACAGGCAATGTTAAAGACTGAAATCCTGTCATTATACTGTAGGAGGGACCTGGTGTTCTAATCTACGAGAACAGGATGTCTTCCTTATACCAAGTGATTACTGGACCCCATGGATCCATTACCAGGGACACCTACTATGAGTAAATATTTTAATATCTTTATCAGTAAGTAGATACAGCATAGGCAAAAATGTTACCACACATGGGCAGAAACTAGAAGATCGAAAAAGTTCAGTGAGAAAGAAATTGTTGTTCAAAGTTTATAGCTAAATTACTTTATGAGTGACTAACATAAACTGTATTTCTTGTGCCAGGTTGTTGTTCCAGTGCAGATATGTTGGCACCACAGTTGAGGTTTTGGTTATTGATGTTGGTCCGGTTCCTCCGCCAAACTCAGTTGCAGCTGCTGGACCTGTGCGTGTGGAACTCAAGCTGGCCAATGGGCAATGTGTTGCCAAGGGTTGTGTTGAAGGTTAGTCTTGGAGAGCTAAATCTGCAAAGATAGCCTCTTTTAGCAGGGACTGTGTCAACAACTACAACTACTCTCATTTTTTGGACAGAAGAGGAAGTCTACACCTCTTTTTACACCGCTGCCGAATACCCTGTCAGAAAGGTTTTGAGGGATCCTGTTTACGTTGAGGTCTACCTGATGGAGAGGACCGATCCCAACCTTGTCTTAACTCTTGGAAGATGTTGGGCAACCTCTGATTCCTATCTTCATAGTCTTCCTCAGTGGGACTTGCTGATTGATGGGTAAGAGTAGGTGGTGCTCTTAATTTGGAGGCATTTGTATTATATTTTTGATGTTTACTGTACACACTTTGCTTTTAACATAGCTGTCCTCATTTGGATTCAAGTTTCCAAGCCACCACAACCGCTTTGTTTTCAAAATGTTCCATTTTGTAGATGATGGTAGTTCAACCCAGTCAGCAGCTACAAAGCCAAACATTATGCCTCCTTTACAGGAAAAGGTATAGCATCCCAATACTAAGCGAAAAAATATCTTTATTTTCATTTCATGCTTACTTTTTGTTGTAACATATTTTCAAAGATGTGCTTTTTTTCTGTTTTTGACCAGCTGTACATCCACTGTGATGTAGCTATTTGCCAACCTACTCTTGGAAATAACTGTGAACCCAGGTGCTTCAGAATAAGTAAGTTGTACACTGACACCATCAGTACAGTGTTTCCTGGAGTTTGATCCCCCTTTTTTTGAGTAAGATGATTAACGAAGCTAAACAGTGGCCATACCATAAAAGGTCTCCGCTGAAAAGGTTAATCTGAAAAAGAAATAGTACATTTCCCACCATTTTATGATCTACTTAGTGCAAGTCTGATAGAAACTGACACTTGCCATGTTTTGTCCACAGGGAGAGAAATTGCTGGTTCTGTCAAGAAAGTCACAAGAGAAGAAACCACTGTGGTTAGCAGCCCAGAGCTTATCTTTGTGCAAAGAAGTACAGAGTCACAATATCCTAACAGATCATAAGAATGATGAAATCTTTGAATTGACTGTCTTTCAAATAAATATCCAGTGTTATAAAACCATTGCCTGATCCTTTCATTCCCTCACAAAGCATTACTCAGGTTTATTATTTATGCAGCCCTCAAATTATTTTCCATACGCCATTTCAGTGGGATTTAGCTTAGTTTTAAGTTATTTTTATCAAACATTTTGTATGTCAGTTCTCTTATTTTAATATTGCTTGTATCGATTGTAAACAAAAGGTATGTTAGTAACTCAGAACAAAGACAAACTTAGTCAAATAAAGTCTTGTGAAGAAAAGTTTCTTTAAAATAACAGTATCAAAAACACATCTAAACACATCTTATTTGAAACTACTCCTTCAGTGCATGGAAGTGGATCATTAAGTTTCATGCATACTTTCACAGCAAAGGCAAACTTTCACTTTTTTTTTTAAATTATCTGATAACTCCAAAACTTTTCATATCCTGTATGGCTATTCACTATTCACTACAAATTCATTGACCATTTACAGTAATGATATGAAACGTTTTTGTTTGTATGTTTTATATTGTTATTGCTCTTGTTGCAACCACCAACAATGTCTCTATTTGATGTAAAGATTGCTGTAAAAAAAACTGTTAAAATGATATGAAAAGTAAAGCATTAGGTTAGAGAAAGTTAATCAGTTGAGCAGTACACCTCAAAACAGCAAATTTGGGAGGCAACACTCTTATAATGGTCCTGTCTGGAGATAAAATGTCAGAATAAAAGGCAAAATACAAATACGCTTTAGTATGAAGTCAATTGACTTTCAGTGCATAAAATCAGGCACTGCAGAGTTTTATCACAAGGATATAAAGGAACAACAAAAAGTTGTTCAGTTTAGTAGATGTCCGAATGCTTGCTGTATGATTACATGGCTTCTATTTCAGTGACACTGAAAGTGTTCATTTCTATGCACTTGGCTAATTCACTGGCAAAGAGAAAACACAAACTCCCACTGGCACTGCACCTCTGTTAAAATTTGTTTTTCTCAAATCCAACAAACAAATAAACAGTGACATAGTCAGTTAGTTAGAATAGCTTCCTCATTTTAGTGTAATCAATATAAAGTACTTCAAGTAAAATTAAGAAAGTGTAAACATAAATGTTCCTACTTTAATTATAAGTTAAGAGTAATAATGCATGACCTTTTCTGTTTGGGCGTCTGCAAATAAAAATTTTGCTTTCAACTAAATGAAAAGTTAGATACCCGCTCTTTAACTTACCTGCTCACAATAGACAGAGTATAATCATTTTAAGGGATTGCAAGAAAGAAGAAGCTTCATGGTACTACTGTGAGCAATTGAAAACAACCCAAACTTGAAAAAGCTTTAAAACTCCGTTTTATGTTGAATAAGACGTAAGCAAAGAGTAACTAGACCTTTTTCTCCCACATTCCTGCCAAATAATATCAGTGAATACACTCAGAAATCATATTATTCATCGCACTCAATGAATTCATTTAAAAGATATGCGCCACAGTCAATTACAAATAAAAACTTCATTTCCCAGAAACCTTCAGCGAACGTGACGTAGAATCTACTGCCAGCAACGACCAATGGGATTTGTGTGTGAACTCGCTCTCGAATTTTGATTGGACGTCGAATTCTTCATCTCGGCTCATCAATCCACTGGTACGTTGTCTGCGTAATGAGTTTACAGCAATCTGAATATATTACGGTTACGCTGTCAGCCGCCTCCCATGCGGTTCATAATATCCAGTTATGGTCGGCTCTTCCGGTTAAGCAGCTTTACCGACGGACTGCGTGTGTCAGCGAGCCCCACCTGTCGCCTCAGACCGACATTTCACCCTGCTATTCCTTCACTCTCCGCCCGGAAATTCAACATGCAGCCCAGCCGAAGTGTAGCAAGCAGTTGCGGCGAAGCGGGTTTAGGCAAAGCAAATAGTTCAGGGCCGGAGAATTACAGCACCAGCATTGCCACAGTCACTACAGAAGAAACGAATACTCCGGTTGTGAAGAAGCAAGTGGAGAGCACGCTTGTTCTAAACCAGAGACACCTAAGGACTCATAGTCCGCTATTAGGGGCCAACTGTGATGACGACTCGGAGGCAGAGTCCTTCCGGGATGGGAGAAGCGAAGAGGTCGACCGGGACACCAGGGATAGGGCCATAAATTGGTGCCGAGACTTTCTGTCGGGGTCGTGGAAGACCATTGAAGATGCTGATTTTCAAATCAGCATTGTCAGGTAAAATTCTTAAAAGTTATAGCAGTACAGTGGATAATAAAACACAGTAATGTCTTCATTTAAATGATAGGGTATTATTATTAGTCGTTTTTTAAAACATACTAATCTGTAGGGACCAGTATGTTTGTGTTCATGGTTTCAAGTAAAGCGACTGTAAGATCCAAGATCCTTGATGGTTTCTGCTACGTTGGATCAGCTGCAGGGACACCCACCTCTCCTTAGTGTTTACTTATCTCGCTGTCAGACAACTTATGACCAGTGTTGGGGAGTAACGGAATACATGTACCGCCGTTACGTATTTAAAATACAAAATATGAGTAACTGTATTCCGTTACAGTTACC